CACCTCACCTACTCCACTAAACCTAACCCACTACACCACTACCACCTCACCTACTCCACTAAACCTAACCCACTACACCACTATCACCATCCACTACACACCATCCACTACACCTACATCTATATAAGGAACCATTTGTAATAGACAGAAAATTAACAATATATATCAATCAATCTTCGTTCTCTCTATTTCTCTATACATAAAATTTAACACTTACTTCACCTAATACATGTACCTGAGTTCAAGTAACAAAGCTTAAGGAGTTTGATATCCCTAGTAGGAAAAACTAAACTAAAAAATTCCCAAAAGCAAACATAGAGAAGTTCATTAGTCACACTGCTTGCTTATTCTTTTTGATCGGCAAAAGTTAGTAGTTAGTTGTTAGATTAGCACCTTGGGAGAGTTAAACACTTACCCTCTCCTTGAAAGTACTTCAGTCTAGCCCCCTATTCCACACCTAAGAGTGGAATGCAAGACCTCCCCTAAGGAGAGACTTTCTCTCACACTGCTTGCTCATATAGTGCTATTTCTCCTAATTCTACTAGGATCATGACTTCAAAATTGGAAAACTAAGAAACTTTGGCTAATTAAAATGTTCTAGACCTAACAAAAACTCCATATAAGAACCAATAACATAATTTGACCCATAAAATGATCAACAAAGTCAAATGTTTTCCAACAAATTTGAAGAATTCTCCACTTCCTCACCTACTGTTCTCTCTTGTGCCTGAGCAAATTCAGCACTTCTTGATAGCCACATACATCATTACCATTCCCTTTCCCCAAACAGCACCTGATCCAATAATTTTGCCAAATTCTCCCACACACAGTGAGATATTGACCTAATGGAATAATGATATTTGCCCTTTGTAAACACCCACCCACATCGAGATTCAATAAAAAGTACCAATATATTTCCTTAAAAGGTTTCCTTAGGAGGAAAAAATCAAATATAATGAACTAAAATCTAAGGTGAGTAAAGTTTTGACAGGATAAAATATCAAAAATAAGTCAAGATGTTCATATAAAAATGTGTTTCTACAAGATTAATTTGGAAAAACAACTACATTTTATTGGATGCTTAATTGTTAAAAGAAAAATATTCTAGAAGTACCTTAAATTATTGAAGTGTCTACCCCTATCGTAACATATTTAGAGCATGTGGTGTACCACGTTCCCATTCTCATTCCACATACCGGACCTATATTTTTTGAAGGAAGAACCACCATTGAAAAACTTAGATGCCTCTCTTAGTGTCTGACAAAACCAAAAAGCTCTACCCAAGTCCAGGGTTAAATGATAGCTATGCAGCCTATTTCTTATAATGATCTTGTTATACTTCTCTCATGAAGCCTAACCAATCTAAATAATAAATATTTTTTGTTAAATTTTCAAGTTCCTATATGCACCAAGTCTCTCTTAAGGGGTGACCATTGGTTCAATGGTAAAATCTTGGCCTAGTAACCTTGAGATTATCGGTTCAAGTCTCGAAGCAACCACTTTGTGCAGTATGCCAAAAGTTAGGTGTGTACCCAATCTTTCCCCTCTTAAACACACATCAATGTGTACTATTTGGGCATTTTTTTTTTATATCAATCCTTATATAACCTCAACCCCATTCTTGTTCTTCGATTCTAATAAATAACACCGACAAAGGAAGAAAAACTGTAGCAAAGAAAAACAGAGACGCAGCTTAGGAGGAGAAACAGCATATAAGAAAATGTAACAAAGAAATGAACATGATGCAACTGAAACTCATTAGAGAAGAAAGTTATTAAGAATCAGAAGGATTAGACATGTTAAGGAAAAGAAGGTTCAAAAGAGGCATGAAGAAAATGCAGGAACATTGACATGGTGTTTGGCAAGTTGGGTTGGGGCTAAAATAGCCACAAAAGACAAAATAGACTATTTTAGCCACAACAAACAAAACATCACATCCAACCCATAATCATTACACTCTTCTCTCACAAAAAAAGTCAAAAAAGCCAAAAAGCGACTAAAGTCTGTGGTCGCCGAAAGATTGGCTATTGGCGACGAAAAGTTTAGTCGGCAAATGTATAAATAAAAAAAAATTTACTATTGGCGACTAAAAGTTTAGTCGCTAAATGTATAATTTCCAAAAATGGAATTGACTATTGGCGACAAATTCTTTAGTCGCTGAAGACCTGTATATTGCCGACTAACACTTTTTTAGTCGCCAAAGGTATTCGCGACCGCTTATTCACGACAAAACCGGCGACTAAAATATTTAGTCGGGGAAAGTGAAAATTCGACTTTTGGCAACTAAAAAAGGACTTTTGACGACAAAAAATTTAGTCGCCAAAGGTGTGTTTTCTTGTAGTGTATCCAAGTTGTTTTGAGAATTGCATGAGCCCCCCAAGCCCGACCTCTAACCTAATTTTGTGTACTCAAGGCTGGCTCGAGCTCAATAAATTGAACTTGGGCTATGCTCTTGTAACGACCCTCATTCTACTCCAGTCATGCTTGCATATATTACATGATCTTGTCTTGATATGTTGCATTTTGCAAACCTTGATTTGATTTGCTTAAGAGTTTCTTGCATGTTTTGTACCTCGCTTGGTGTTAGTTTAGCCGAGGTCATCTTTAGTCTAGAACTTCCTTGGAACCACTTTGTTTGACCTCCACCTTCGCCCTGACATGTTGGCCGAGATGTCATTATCTAGGCCGAGGTGTTCATCACCAAGGCCGAGATGTCACCTTTGCACCTAAGTGATCTTGTCCTGGAGTGGTGTGACCTAGACCAAGGTGTGGATCATCTAGGCCAAGGCGTGGCACAGCTTAATCAAGTGTTGTCCTTCCTAGCCGAGATCATTGTTCCCCTACTTGCCGATGTCTTGTTCTTAGCCGAGATCATTACCTGCCAGAGTGCCCATGCCATCTTGCTTATTGAACACACTTTGTCAGAGTCTTGTCTTTTCACTCAGCCACCTTTTGAGGAGAATCAACCCGGTAGTGCCGCGTGTCCCAACTGAGTGTTAAGTCAGCCGACAGACCCAGAAAATATACATTTTTTTTTGTATTACATCTTTGCCTTGTAGAGAGAGAGGCTTTAGGAAGAAGAAGAAGTCTTAAAGTGAGAGAGTAGACCTTCGAGCTTGATTTCTGGAGATCAAACCGTTAGATTCGTGTATTGAGGTTAGATTCTTAATTCACTCATGTCGTTCTTATTGATCATCCAACTGCATTGCACGATCGAACCTGTTCTGCATGTTATGCATTGGTTTAAAGTTGGTTTTAGAAAGAGAAGATAGTGTTTATGTGTTTTTGAAGAAAAAGTCTTGTTTAATCCGAAAGTTTGCCTTAAGATTCATGTTTTGTGTTTGTTCTCGCAAGATCCTTGAATATGGGTACCCAGGTCCATGTATTTGAATTCATAGCATGAAATCTCAGATTTTGTAATAGCAAATTATGATCTTGCATTCATGTTCTTCATGTTCATGTTCTTCATGTTCATGTTCTTCATGTTCATGTTCTTCAAGAGAGGGAAACCCAGATTTTCCCGACCTCATTTCCTTGAATGTGGCCATCGAGGCAACACCTCGGCAAGGAGGTGTGGGACCTCGGCCAAGATCTGGTTGGTGCCCATTATGTTTTCCCGAGATGAGGAACAATGTTTTGTTTTGAATCGCCTTAGTTTTTGAAAAAATGCCGAGGTCACTTGCATTCATATAAAGCTTGTTTGATAATGCATTCAATGGGATTTGTTATGTGCTTGTAGGACTTGGATCCTTGCCTGTAGCCCCGACGTCTGAAGAGCTATGTGAGTGGTATTTTTAATAAAGTTATGTTATTAAGTTTTGGTCAAGTTTTGTTCTGCTTGTTTTGGAAAAGCATTTTGTGAAGCATGAATGATGATCCCTATTTTGTATACCAAGTATTAGCCTTGTTTGAATGACAATCTTGAAAGTCCGTACGTGCTAGGGGACTATAAGAATTTGTAGCACAATCTTGAAAAGTCCGTACGTGCTAGGGGACTATAAGCATTTGTAGCACAACCTCTGTTAATGTCACCCCTTAAAACTTGAAAGCCTTGAAAGACTTTAATTATTGAGACTTGAAAGATTGTTAGATAAACTTGATTTGCCCTTGGATTTTGTACAAGATGTGATGTGCCTTGATTTGATAAGGATTTCGGATATCATTCATGTAAACCCCTTTATTATTTGTATCATTCACTGAGTATCCAAGCTCACCCCTCTCTATATATATGTAGGTGACGAGCAGGACGGCGGTGACACCTAGATGTACTTGCCACTTGTTTTGGACTTTGCACTTTTGCTGCATCTTGAAGATTATGCTTCTTAGTTGTATTCATTGCATTTTGTGTTTGATGGCTGAGAAGCCTTTTGGTCAAGATGTATTTTGTACTTCATTTGTTGTATTAAAGCTATGTAAAGATGTATGCCATTCCATTTAAACTTATGCACTGCTCTTATAGCGACCCCGGTCTTTTCCCATTTGATTATTGTATCCGGACTTAAGTTCCGTTTGTTCTGTCATTGTGTAATTGTTGTTGTCGTCCTTTATTTTCTCAATTGGAGTTATAGGATGTGTTGGGCAGGTTTGTTTCAGGTTGGTTGGGTTCGTAAACCAAGTGTTGCTGTCCAGTTTTTGGGTTGGTTGCTCGAGCCAGGGTTTGGTCGCTCGAGCGAGGGTTGTTTTTTGTATCTTCTGGCTCGATCCAGCTTTGTTTCGCTCGAGCGAGCGATTGCGTCTGGTATAGACCTGAGGGCAGTGCTTATTCGCTCGAGCGAGATCTTCTTCGCTCGAGCGAGCGAGGTTCATGTTTTCGAGTTCCTTGCTCGAGCGAGCATTCTGTCGCTCGAGCGTGCTCCAGGGTTGCAGACCTGAAGCATTGCATTCTTGGCTCGAGCGAGCTTTTCTTCGCTCGAGCGTGGTTTTCGTGTGTCTGGTCGCTCGAGTGACAAAGTCTTCGCTCGAGCGAGAGAAATTGCTGCATTTCTTCTACAGTCTCTACCCATTGCATTCGTTTAAATGCCTGTGAGAAAAAAGAACCTTCTCTATTAGCTACATCCAACAATCCAATTATAGCAACGCAAAACAGACCTCAAAGGCGTGGCAAAGGACCTAGGCATTCAAGTTAGAGATGGTCAAAATGAATTGATTTCAACAATAGTTGAACAGGAAAAGCTGAACAGGTTGAGGTTCAATTAAACTGTAGGAGGAAGAAAAGAGCTGTTGAAATCAATTCATTTTCCTGCCCAGCTTTTCCCGTTCTTTTTAGATCAAAAGAAGGAGAGAGAGAGAGAGAGGAAACAATAAAACAAAAGGCCAGCATTAATCAAACAAACCTGATAGAAGGGGATAACAGAGGCAGGATCAGTCAGATTGATGAATACATGACCCCTATTGCATTTGTTCTTCAGCAAAAGAAGGATAAGTCATAATTATTCACAGTTTGTAAGGCAAAACTAACTCTGTTCTTCTGAGGTAAAGTCACTTGCTTGAAAATCGAAGGGCAGTTTAATAAAATCATAAACACCCTTATAACGTTCACCAACGACATCTTCAAGCATCTTACAAGTACACCTACCATTGAAACCTTATCAAGATAAGAAGAAAAAAAGAGACAAAAACATGTATACATAATCATCTACTACTACTTTAGAAAGATCCCACTTGATGTGGAACAAAGTGCTCGTCATGTGGAACAAAGTGCTGTGTGGAACTGCCTGTTCTGGGGAACTAAGTGCTAAACTATTTTGGGAGCCACCTCTAGAGGCTGTACGAGCCACCAATTGAAATCACATCTCATGTATTGTTATATGATTGTCACCTCGATGACCCTTGTACTGTTTTCCCCGTAGATATGGTTATATGTTAGGTATAATATCGTATTTATATGTATTTTAAAATGAATTTTTGTTATTAGAGACGAACATGAGTAACTTGATTGTTTGATGAAAACATATTCACGTTTGATCGTTTTCGCCTCAATGCCTATCCATGGAGATTTTGTACCCCTTATGCTCTCAGTATAATATTTCTCACCCTGCAATATGCTTATAGTCAAATCAGAATTAGTTTACACTAATCACCAGTTCATATATATTCAAAAATTAAAAAACGAAAAAATTAAGTACAAACTAGAATTCAACGTAAAGAAGATAGGCAAAGAACCCGACAAACCGTTAAATGTGAAACTATTGAATTGTCCCAAACTAGCGCCTAAAAAGACAGTGCACAAAAATTAACAGAATAGCAAATACAAGACTTATTAAATGTGAAACTATTGAAATCTGCTATATGCGCTTTAAGCCTAAAATAAGTCGTCTCGATCAAATCATTTTTGCCATAGTAGTCTCTTTACTTCCTCAAACAGCGAATTGTCGCACTAGCCTTCGACGTTGGTTCTAACATCCAATCTCCAGCTCTCATAGCCAAAAAATTCACAGCCTAGTTTTCCTTTCTAAGATGTAATCAAACATCTAATTCTTGAATACTTTATAAGGTAATCTCCTATAGGTACAAAAATGCATTAGTGCAAAGAAAAAAATTTATTTGGAGGACTTCCAAATAAAAATATATAAAGAAATAATTCATACATGTAGAGAACGTAATATTCTACGGATAATTTGCCGCCATTGATGGCTTTAATAATGAATGAGGCATCCAATTGTGTTAACATCTACGTGAACCCATATTGTCGAGCCAAAAGGAGGCTACATTCGGCAACTTTGAACTCAGCTTCGTAGTTGTCGCGTACACCTTTAATCCGTATAACATGTATAGTTTTAATCGTACCCAAATAATGATTAGGAAAAACAACCCCGTTGAACCATAAACAGTCCCACCTATCCTAATGAATGATGCATATGAGTTGATTTTATTCCAATACATGGGAGGAACCCAAATAAGCCTACCAATTGGTTGTTCCCAGTGTACAACATAAATATACTCGACACATTATTTGTCTAAACTTTAATAAAATCCTCGAAACAACAATACTGATACGGACCCAATTTAAAAAATAGGTCCATATACTCCTTCACGGAAATGTATATGGGTCTTTTCAATTTCGATTATAACCCGAGTATAAGATATGAAGATGTGGTAAATACTTTTCTTCAAATTGGATTCTCAACTAATCGATTGATATACAACAATCTATATTTTTAAGTTAATAACTACCATTACATGAATACTCCTCTTCACTTACTAACTGATTCAACTGATTCATGTCATTCAAGAAGGATGATCCAATAAGTGAGGAGGAGTATTTATATAATAATAAATGTTATTATCTTTGTTATGTATGTATCTTCTTGAAAATTGTTAATATTATGTTTTTAATTTTATAGGCTTCAAAATGGAACCTTTTTGTATAAGACCTGTGATTTATTTTTTAGTTAGAAAAAAGGATTATTGTATGTCAACCCTATTTGAGATTAGTTTGAGAACCCAATTCAAAGAAAATCATTTACCCCACCTCTGTATTTGGGTCTACAGCCATTTCGAAGAGTTCATTAAAATTCAAAAAATTAGGGTTTCGAGTATAATTTATACTCTGCTCTTAGAACAACCATGAGTACGGCCATTTCGAAGAGTTCACTAAAATTCAAAAAATTAGGGTTTCGAGTATAATTAATACTCTGCTCTTAGAACAACCAATTGGTAGGGTCATTTGAATTCCTCCTTCCATGGATTGGATAACAATCATCTCAGATATATCATTCGTTTCAACAGGGTTGTTTTATAAGATCATTTGGGTACGATGAAAGCTATACAAGCTATATACAGCTCAGAGTTGTACGCGACAGATACGAAGTTGAGCTAAAAGCTGCCGAATGTGCTCCTTCTATCTCGACAATGTGTTCACGTAGATATTAATACAATTAGATAACTCATTCATTGTTAAAGCTATTAAAGGCGGCGAATTACCAGTAAAATATTACGGTCTCTAATGAATTAATTATTGCTTTATTTATTTTATTTAGAAGTCGTTCAAATGAATTTTTTTTTTTCTTTTTTTCTTAAGACTAATGCATTTGTACCTACAGGAAATTAACTCCTAAAGAGTTCAACAATTAAATGTTTAATTACATCCCCAAAGAGGGATACCAGGTTGTGAATTTTTTAGCTACAAGAGCCCGAGATTGGATGCTAGAACTAACCTTGAAGACTACTACAGCAATTCACCATGCTTTTGAGAAAGTGAGACTATTATGGAAAAAATAATTTGACCGAGACGACTTACTTTAGGCTTAAGGTGCAGATAGCAGGTTTCAATAGTTTCACATTTAACAAGTCTAATATTTGCTATCCTGTTAATTTTTGCATGTCGTCTTTCTAGGTGCTAGATTTGGACAATTCAATAGTTTCACGTTTTAATGGTTTATTGGCATCTTCGCCTATCTTCTCGATGTTTAATTCTAGTTTGTACTTATCTTAACTTTTGATTTTTTAGTTTTTGAATATATATGGATTGGTGATTAGTGCAACTAATTTTGATTTGACTATGAACATACTGCAGAGTGAGTAATATTATACCGAGAGCATAAGAGTTAGAAAATCTCCATGGATAGGCATTTAGGCCAAAATGATCAAATATAAAACAAATAAGTTACTCATGTTCGTCTATGATAACAGAAATTCATTTTAAAATACCTATAACTACAATATTATACCTAACATATAACCATATCCATGGACAAAACAGAACATATAAATACAATATTATACCTAATATATAACCATAACCACGAACAAAACAGAACAAAAGTCACCAGAGTGAAAATCATATAACAATACAAGGGATGCAATTCCAAGAGGTGGCTCGTGCGGATTTTGTTTGGGTGTTCGGACAACCGAATCACCTGACCAAACCCCATTGTGAACAGGGACGGACCTGGCTAGGGGACTTTAGGAGTTAGTGCCCATGATTTGTGTCACTCCAAGAAGACCAATTATTTTGTGGAATTAAAGGTGATTAGGCCTAAGTTAAGCCTCAAAGGCTTTGGGCCTGGTCAGTCCCTGGACCTCGTGGAATCATTTTTTTAGACCAAATGAGACCTATTTTGGGACGGTCCAAAGGTGGTTCTTCCTCTCATATGCCTAAAATTACAAGCCAGATATGGTCAAATGTTGTTGATAACCTTGGAAAAGGAGACGATTGCAACCAACTTCCGGTTGGCTGCAGTTTACAAATTTACAAAATTACAATTTCATAGTTGGTCAATGGTTTTAAAACTAAACAAGAAGCGGAAACCGAACCAAACTAAACTAAACTACACGCGTTTGTATTGGACTGGTTTAACAGATTGCATCCTTATCACCTCGTCTCTGCATCACAGATTTGTTTTTTTGTGGCATTGATTGAGTAGTTGGAAATTTGCATTTATCTTTCGACATTTCAATTGTCTAAATACTGACTTCCATGTTTCAACGTAACTTATCTAATTAAATGTTGTTTAGATCTTCAAATTCCAATCTCTTCTCTCTAGTAAATGAAAACTTATCTAATAAATTATCAGTGAATGGATTACATGTGCAAGAGATACTCAGCTATTGTTTGGTGGCTGAGGAGCTTTAAACTTTGGCCCTCTCTTGGTTTAGTGAGGCTTGGGTGTTCTTGGCAACTCTAATGCCTTGGTTGTTGAAGAGGGAAAAGGGTGGGGAACAGAAATAATTGGATTATTATCCATCTTGGCTTGATGTGGCTTATTTAGTTAGCAGGATAGGAAACATAAGACAATTTGATAGTACCGAATATTCCTTGTCTTTGCCCGTTATATTGATGTACCTTATTTCTAGTATTTTGTATATTTGGGATTTGTTGGTCAATGTTACATGGATTCTTAAAAATATATTAAATATCCATTTGGGACACTTCACACTTGGATTAGGGTTTGGTATATGTGTCTCACACTTGCAATCGAACACTTCTTGCGAGAAACTAAATTGGATTTTATATAAATTTTCATGACCGTTATGAGGGTGAAGTGCCACTTTCCTTCTATCTCTTCATCTTTGCGTGTGTTACTGTTCACCTCCCTAAAAAACTAAACCCTAGTTTATCAAGTACAAACCATCCCCAACCGATTCCCATACCTATTAGCTACTAATTTAATCTTAAAATCCATAAATCAGTGTTATCCAGTCCCTTTAATTGCACTATTTTAGAAATGATGCAATCTGCAAGTTATAGAAACCCATTCAATTCCACCCTCTTCCTTTTCACAAACACAAATCTTTCTTTTCCCTCTTACAACACCAACCCTAGAAGCTTTTCAAGACCAAAGCCCAGACCCACGCTCACATCTGACACCCATATTCAAAAACATGTACACCACAGGTCTAGACCAAGTATAGAATTTGTAGAGCTTTTGGATATGCAAGGGCGTGTAAAGTGCCTTTTGGTAGTGGCATCTTTTCATACACAAGAAGCATTCCCATGGGGGCCTCGGTTTATAAAATTGTTTAAATATCAAAAAAAGGATATTTAAGATAAAGAATTGAAGGGTGTAAGAACAACCCCAAAATCTTGTGTCTTCAATCTCAAATCACTACCTTTTTTTGCAATTTTTGGA